GTTGAAGGAATTATATGAAGGATGGAAATTGGGTGGGCGAACAAGGGTGCTAAGGTATCCCCTCGAATTACCCGTCGACACGAAAGACCTCGGGGAACGTTCGAAAATATTATCGTTTCTGGCCCGGCGTGTACTGTTTCGCCGATTCGATTTCCTCCTCGGTTGACGATCCCGATCGACTCGGAAGAGCAGCGAAGAATGATTAATGCATAACCGAGATGCAACGTTGCAGCCGGTCGAAAGGTTTCCAAGAATTCCTTCTTATCTTCAGAAGCCAGGTCGTTGCCTCCGATCACGTAACCTTCGAAATTTTCAACCGTTATATATATGATATACACGATATACGTTATGACAATTTAATTCTCTCATTATAGCGCCGACCCATTCATTTATTCAGGACGCAAAGATAAATCGTAGGATGAAACTCTGTTCGTGAACGCTTATCATCTAGTCCTCCTCCCAGTAAAATGATAATAAGCATTCCCAAACGGAATATAATCAAACCTCGTATTTCGAATTCTCTTACGTTTGCATCAAGCGATACAAATATAGCCATATAGAGTTCTTATAACTCGGTTAATTCGTTCTCGAAATTGTATTATGTACTCTACTAGTTACGAGGATCGTCTGAGTTTAACCTTTCGCCAAATTCCTATGCTCAAAAGCGTATGGATGGCGATTCATTCTTAATTAGTTTTAGTCTGGAGACCGATTTTCAGAAGTCTTGATGTATAGGAACAATATTCGTCCGATTCGAATATCAGAGGAAAATGCATTTTTTATTTTTCTTCGACTCGAAAATATAATATAATAAATGTAAATACATTGTGAAAACAATATTGCAAAAGCGAAGGATTGAGTACGAAGAACGAGTATTTTCGAACCTCCATTCGAAATCCGTGTTTTCGAAGTATCGTGATATAACGGAGTAGACGAGAATAATTTAAAATGTTTGGAGAATCCTCGGCTATTTACCCGTACGCCGTGATTCATCTGCTCGTGCCAACAATGTTGCGTTGAAATATCGTTTCGATGAAACTTTCTGAACCGATCCCGAAGAAAAAGGCAGTTTCCCGCGCCAAGGAATATGAATATTTGAAAGGTTTTTGCGCCACGCCACGTATGAATTTTCAGCGATGGAAGGGAAAAAACGCGTATTGCATATTCGATTATTCGCGGGATACGGATCGATACTACTACTCCCGTGCAACACCGTGGCGGTGCGTTTGGATCACGATGAACGATCGTTTCGGCGAAGGGAAATGGCCGGTGGCGCCTTGCGATAATATTTATACGAGACGCGTTATCGAACCTCTATCTCGCGTTTAGTCGAAAGAATGCCGCGGAAATATCTCGATCCTCGATTCTCTCTTTCTTCCTCCCCTCAAAATAATCATCGATTTTCCATCGAGTAAACCGATCGAATCTATGCCCGCCGATCTATTATTAAACCTCACTTAGAGAGATTGCGAATCACCTTTTCGAGACAATCGTTTTTAATCGTATGCCCGACAACTTATGGCGATAAGTCGTTCACGACTGCGCCACGCCCCACGTTCCTTCGAGCTCGCGGCTCGATACGATTGATATTCCCGTATTCGACGTTAAAGAAAAGTGGAATGCGAGGGATGTCATAGGAGGAAAGACACGTTCGATGGAGGTATTATCGTTACGAGGTATTATTCAGTTGGAGCTTTGAGAAGTTAGATTTCATGTGAAAATTAATGCTACTTTTTCAATCACCGAATATTTGCATCTCGAAATTTTAGGGATACAAAATATTATTCGTTGAGATCTTTGATCGAATTGTTAATAATTTTGTGTGAAAATTATCGAAGAAAATTTTCGATTACCGAGAAAATATATTTTTACGAATATTTGCATCTCGAAATTTTAGGGTTACAAGATACTATTAGTTGAGATCTTCGATTAAGAAGTGTTAATAATTTTGTGTGAAAACTATTGGAGAAAATTTTTAATCATCGAGAAAATATATTCTTACGAATATTTGCATCTCGAAATTTCATGGTTACAAGATATTATTATTTGAGATCTTCGATCGAGAAATGTTAATGATTTTGTGTGAAAATTACCGAAAAAAATTTTCAATTGTTGAAGAAACGTATTCTTACGAATATTTGCATCTCGAAATTTTAGGGTTACAAAATATTATTCGTTGAGACCTTTGATCGAATTGTTAATGATTTTGTGTGAAAATTATCGGAGAAAATATATTTGCATCTCGAAATTTTAGGGTTACAAGATATTATTAGTTGAGATCTTCGATTAAAAAGTGTTAATAATTTTGTGTGAAAACTATTGGAGAAAATTTTTAATCATCGAGAAAATATATTCTTACGAATATTTGCATCTAATTTTAGCGTTACAAAGTACTATTAGTTACCTTTGATCGAGAAGTTAATGATTTTATGTGAAAACTATCGAAGAAAATTTTTAATTACTGAAACGTATTCTTTGCATTTCGAAATTTTTGTTTTAACTTGTTCTACGTCTTTAATTTTTCATTCTTCGAATATTACTTCCATTCATTATCTAATTTCAAAATTTAAATATAATAAAAAAAAAGGTGGTAACAGGAGAAAAATAATCGTTAAGAATAACGATAGTTCTAGATATTTTTTTAGTTATATCAAAGCATATATTTTATTTTTATTCCAATTCGATCAACTCCAATTATTACCACGTTATCGCAACACTTGCTCGGAAAATAATAATCGTAGAATCTCGTATATACCCTCGCTCTATCTGACCAAACGTTCGATCCGAGTTTCAAGGAGTGGAAACTTTTCCGAAGAAGAAGAACGGTATCGAAGAAAGAGGAGAGAAGAAGGAACAGAAGAAGGAAGGGGGAGGGGTTTAAAAAAAGAGGAACGTTGATGACAAAGTACGGCGAAGAAGATCCAGGGCGAAAGTTTCGTGGATGATTTAATTTGGTCGCGGCAGAACGTCGGAAACTGAAATGCAACGGGGGGGAAAAAAGAAAAGAGCGAAAATCTGGTTGGCTCTCGAGGAATTTCGTTGGCCTGTTAGTAGCCAATACCGAGTCGCTTCCACAGAGAGGTTGGGGAGG